ATGGTATCCCATTTGTCATATCCATCTCATTGCATAAGGTGAAAAAAGTTAGTAAAATATGTCAAATCAAATGCCTTCTCTCGTAGCATGTCTTTGTAGGCGCTCTGGAAAATTACAATCATAAGTACAATTACATATAAATAAATTTTAAAATAAATGAAGATTAGAGTATAAACTAAGTTATTTATTTTTTTTGAAAGAAAGTTAAAAGTTTCATTACCTAAAAATGAAAGACAGTTTATTTAATACATTTAAAATAGAGTCATTGCATGTATAGCTAGGGCCGTAAATAGATCGAATGGATCAGATCTGTCCATATTCGATTCAATAATCCAGTGAATATTTGATTATTAAATCCATATTCAATTTGCTATATTATCGAATATACGATCCGAAATTGAAAATATAGTTATATAAAATTTTTATATGAATCAACTTCTAAATCCCATAATTAAAAGGTTCGGATAGTTTTTTACACAATTCTTGGCCCACCTAATTATATATTGTAAATCATGTGATATTCTAGCAAGTATATGATGTGGAAAGTGAGAAGTTGGGAACATGAAAGCAACTCCAATTATTGGTATCTTTGGTTGTTTAATTTATAAAATAAACTAAGAATTTTTTTAATCTTATCTTAATTATAATAAAAAATTAAAAGCTCTCTAAACATTTCTATTAACGATATTACACTATTATTTATTATTTGAAAATCATGTGTAAAATATAATACAAGTTTCGAAATGAAAAAAACTACGTGTAATAAATTATGCAATCGTTTATAAAATATATTATATTATTATAACAAATCGGATCATGTTGTTATCGAATCAAAGTGACATATATCCACAGTTGCTTCATTTATTTAACAGATTATCGGATTTAAATCTTGATTGGGCTATCGGGTTGAGACCTTAAATCCATCTCCATTGACTTCTTCGAATTCAAATCAAAATACAATCCGCGGTCGCCATCGAGACATAGCTCAGTGGTGCAAAGGACAATGGTGAAGTAGTCTTAGCTGAGCTAGCAGCCACAGTGTGAGTGTTTGATTCATACATCTTACAAGATATGAAATTAGACTATTTGTGGGTATCAGTATGACAACTCTTGTACCCTGGCCTGATGAGACATATCTTGTGATTTACCTTCTCCACAATATTCTAGGGGCGGAACGGTAGGGAACTCTCAAAGTTGGGGTTCAACCTTTTTTCAAATACAATCCACGACAACCCTATGTATAGCTAAGCTCTTGAAAAGTGCACCCACAAAAGTTATTAATAAGTCATTTTCAAAAAAATATTTTTTTTATTTATTACGATTCAAAATAAGTTATTTATTTAACAATTAAGAGTTTCCCTAAAAATGAAAGACACGTTATTCAAGGGAAATTTTGATTTTATGCATGATTGAAAAGCTAATGAAAATTGTAAAATCTCGAAGTATGTGATTAAAATTGAAATTTAACTCGTCGGGAAATTGATAAAATTTTAGCAAATTTTCATCAAACAAAATATGTTTGGAATACAGAGTTCGGAGCATCTCTAATAGATTTATTTTTGTATAAGTATATTTTTCATAATATGGAGCATTTTTAAATTTAAAGAGTATATATTCTATACACTTTGACAAACTTCTCAATTTTTTATCTCTTTATTTCATTTTTCCCAACATTTATTTTGTTGTTTTTTCTTATTTTTTATGACCATTTTTTGGATTTTTACCAAGGAAAAGACTAAATTTATGATTCTCAAATAACTATTATATTTTCTAAATTTATTGATACGATTTTATTTTTTTTCTCGACCAAGTTTGAGTACGATATTTGTACTCAACTTGAATTCAATCAATATTTTACTTATTTAGTTGGAAGAAAAAAGTATTTTTAATTTTCATTTTTTACATTTCATAGTTATCTAGATTTCGAGTCAAGTTAAAGTTACTTTGACCCCTGATTAGGTGTGGCAACGAGCCCAGTCTCGTTAAATTTTTATTATGTTTTTTTCATTGTAAATAAAGTAAGGTTATTGAGTTTGAATGAATTGAGTATTTATTTTTCAAATTTCATCTTTTCCCATTCCATCTTATTCTTCATGCTCGTAATTTTTGTTATTTTACGAAACTAATTAGCTTTCATATTTTAGAATGACAAAAACATTAAGTGCGTGTTTGATTATATTTATTTTTTATGAAAAACGTCAGTTTTCTATCCAAATTTCTACTTTGAAGTGTTTTTTTGCTATTTTTTTCATGGAAAATATTTTCCGACGTTTAAAAATATGCATAATTTTTCTTATTTGTAAGGAAGACATTTTCTATGGAAAGAGTAGGTTTTTATTTTCCATGCCAATTAAACACACTTTAATATTCATACGTGCTACTTAATCGAAAATAGTAAGGTAATTTTTTGTCTTTAATCTCTGTAGTTTAAAATAAAGATGTGATATTCAAATACATGAAAGCTTATTTGCATAATGGTCCACCACCCCTGCCGCTCCGACGAAAGAAAAAGNTAGGTTTTTATTTTCCATGCCAATTAAACACACTTTAATATTCATACGTGCTACTTAATCGAAAATAGTAAGGTAATTTTTTGTCTTTAATCTCTGTAGTTTAAAATAAAGATGTGATATTCAAATACATGAAAGCTTATTTGCATAATGGTCCACCACCCCTGCCGCTCCGACGAAAGAAAAAGGTTTTGATGTTTTGGTTCGACCTGTCGCTCGTCCTGCGACTATTCTAGCGACTCTCCGATTCGGGTGAATATTCCGGTGACCATTCCCCCGTCGATTTATTCTGACGACTGCTCCAACTCCGACGACTATTCCTGCAACAACAACACCATACTTTTAAAGTCACAGATTTATACAATATGGTTACAAATTCACAATTTTGTAGATCATAGTTCAAAAATTTTGTAAGTTATACGGTCACAGATTTTCAAATTAGTTGGTCACATATTATATAATTTTTAGGTCACGATTTTTTCATCGGTCACAGATCAAAAATTTTGTAGGCCACGAATTATTTCGAGGTCACAAATCAATAGTTAATATCCAGTGCCTAGATTTTTAATGTCCAGTGTCAATAGATAGTCAGTATATAAAAGTTTAAATAAGGTCACAGATTAATTTTTAGTCACAATTTTAAGGTCACAGTTAGATTTCTTTTTGTGACCACCCCCGAGACCACCGCGACTTCTGTGACCACTCCAGTAACCATCATCGCCGTTGTCGCCAGAACCAACAACATCACCCCTGTGACCACCGCCGACTTTTGTGACCACCCCCGAGACCACCACCTCACCACTGCCACCATCCCGCAGCCCCACATCAAGCAGTGCCACGACCATCAACACCAAGGCGCCTCTACCACCACCCACAACAAAAAAAATAAGAAAAGAAAAATGCAATGCCACTCAGATCTGGACGTATACATAGACTACCCCCACCCGTCACAACACCACCACAATCGTCGCCGCCATCACCGCGACCAACCATCGCACATCATTGTAGTCAATCCACCACCACTATCAAAACCACCTCACCTCACCGCACCATCAACACCAACAAAACAGATCCAAAATCGCCCCCACACCCGCCATCACGTCACATTCGTAGTCGCCCCCTCCACCACCGCCAACATCACCACCACAATTTTCAACAACCACCACAACTCCATTTCCACCCCCACATACCTTCACAAACCAATTGACAAAAAACCACGCAGTACCAACACCTGAACGCACCGCCAATCCGCCACGATTTGTGCTACCACCATCATCACGACCAACCACCGCACATCGTTGTCGCCAAATCCACCACTTGTAGCACCACCACCACCACCTATTGTGGCATTGGCAGGGGCAAAACCACTCTGCGACTGCAACTGTAGCACCACCATCACTACGGAGCCGATTCACTGCACCGCAAACGTCAAGCATGTTGCTACAGTGGCGACATTGGTTTCAATTTGAAGGTAAAGAGATGATGGTGAAGAGAGAATGGAGAGGGAGGGAGAGAGAGAGAAAGGGAGGGACGACATAGAGAGTGAGAGAGAAGAGGGTGAAATAATTAGGGAGAGAAGAAATTAATTTAAGGTTTGATTTGGGATGAAATTAAAATATATACGCAGTACCAACACCTGAACGCACTGCCGATCCGCCACGATTTGTACTACCACCATCATCGCGACCAACCACCGCACATCGTTGTCGCCAAATCCACCACCTGTAGCACCACCACCACCACCTATTGTGGCATTGGCAGGGGCAAAACCACTCTGCGACTGCAACTGTAGCACCACCATCACTACGGAGCCGATTCACTGCACCGCAAACGTCGACAGTGGTTTCAATTTGAGGGTAAAGAGATGATGGTGAAGAGAGAATGGAGAGGGAGGGAGGGAGAGAGAGAGAGAAAAGGAGGGACGACATAGAGAGTGAGAGAGAAGAGGGTGAAATAATTAGGGAGAGAAGAAATGAATTTAAGGTTTGATTTGAGATGAAATTAAAATATAATTTGTATATATATAATATATATAATTATAATCTGTATCTAATTAAAAATATCTGATTTTTGAAAACTAAAACTTGAAATCTGATTTTGGAAAATAGATATTGAAAAGTAGGGAATTGAGTAATATGCACTATTAAAAAATAGCAATAATTGGATGGTCCGGCCCGGCTGGCCTGCAGGATGTTTTGGGCCTAAGAGCAGCCCACCCCAAGTCATTTAAAACCTAGGCCTTGGCAGCCCAGCCCCGAGTTCCAAAATGCTCATGAATATAACCAAGCTATAAGCAACGAACTCATAAAATAAAGAAAGAAAAATAGAATAAGAATTCCCCTACAATATCTGAAATCGAAAAGACAAACAGAAATGATAAAAATCAGACTATCACAAGTTAAAACCAATTTCACGTACAAAATGTATATTTGTAAACTGTTTTTCTATGCATAATTCCCCTCTGACTATACAAATAATAACCACATAAAATTACGAGTAGTAACTCGCAAGTCGTTCTTCATGACATTCTCTCATCAAAAAATGCCAAGCAAGCAATGCAGCACCCACAGCAGGCTCCACCTAATACATGTAAAACATAAGATGAAGACGAGTAGAATATAAAAAATAGAAAAAATATTAATTGGAACAAGGAAAAGAGGACCAGCTGAACTCAAAACAATCATATACAAACTTTCTTACCACAAAATACGAAAAAGACGACATTTTGGGATAATAGTAAATATTATTGCTTGCTGGTTTCCGCGACCAGATGGAATTTAGCATACTCGATTTTCTGATAGTCTACAGGTCTTTCAGAATTGGAATAGTATGTGATATTGCAATGCTAGAAGCCGGATACTAATATTTCAGAACTCAAGTTGTATCTAATCATATATACCAAACGCGAATAAACATTGACCTTTTACAAGCAAGAACTATATGAAAATGTTGAGCAGGAAGGATATATTAATAATTTAATATATGCTCTCACCTTTGGACGGATAGGCAGAGCCCCAGGGAAGTCATTTGAGATGCAATTCATTACCTCATTACCAATGTCCCATCTCCTGTTGGCTTCAAGGACGCCACCAACCATTACGAGAGGAAAATAATCCTTTCCGTCTGCAGTTAGGTAATTGTATAAAATATTTCAATTAATACGAACAACTACGGCAGGAATTAGTGCTCTGTGCGTAATATTATGTATTTAGTATATCGAATGGAGCAGATGGGAGGAGTAATATCATGTACAAGATAACCTCTCTCTATTCAAGAATATTGTAAGCAAATCCCGCTCTTAAATATTATGCAGCTAGATATTGGAAAAATACTGACGAGATGATACGACACAAATGCCACAGACTAGAGAATGAAAGGCTTGACCAATAAATAGTATATGATGCAGCTTGTCCTTGCCACTCTAAAACATATGATTAAGCTCTATGAGCATTTTTTTTTTTAATTACTCGTGATGTTGCCTAAGAGAAGTCTGTATTATTTTAAAAAAGGTTTTCTTTCCAGTTTATTTATAGATACAGAATGCGGTTGGTGATCCCATCTCCTTCCCAATGCCACCCAGGGATAAAAAGGAAGGAAGAAAATGTCATTACAGATTTAGAATTTTGTACAGATCAAGAATCAAATGGGTGCTCTTGGACACCCGGAGGCTAGCAAGATCTCAACGCAAGCAGGCAAACTTTCAGAAAATAACTGGTGAGATTTCAACAACACCTTCAATCATGTATTAAAGTAACCTAAGGCATGTCTCTATTTCCTAGGTCTTGCCTCTATACATGAAAAAGAAAGACTAGGAACAACATTCAAGTGGATGGATGAGGCACCCACTTCAACCTGCTTGTGATAGCATAAAGGTGGCTTCACATGGTGAATATGTAAATAGGACTTGAAATCACATAGCAGCAGATCTTATGTTGAGAGGTGAGGCACATGCAGTGTGTGTATTCTGATATTGGTTGGAACTTGGAAAGGGATTCTGAAATTGATTGCAAATGCAGGCAAGGAATTTCATTATCTAAGTAAATAAGGGTATATAGTCAAGGATGAAACCCTTTATACGTGGCACAGAGGCATTTTCTAAAGCTATTGGAAATCTGGAATTGGGTTGGGCATCTGAGTCCAAACCTTCAGACATTTTGTAGGGTATATAATCAAGGATGAAACCCATTTTTAGGAGTAACAATGTGCATCCGTCCATGTAAACTCCTAGCGAGAGAAAGTATAGAGATCATGTATGCCATGTCGATATGAATTCAAAACCTCACCTTCACCACATAGATCCAGTCTCTGAACAACAGCTTTCACACTTGAAGCCAATTCTTGGACGGCATCATGCAAGATCTTGTTAGCCACCAGATCGCCTGCTTCTGCACTAGAAACCACAACAGGAACAAGAGCTGCAATCCGAGCCCAAGATGGATCTGCATATGTCCACCTAAAATCAAATTCAAGTCACACTTGTGACCTGCTACCGTTCTATCAACATACTATAATTAGTTAAATCTACATATCATGCAAGGAATCAGAAGAAAATTCAAACTAAATTTGCATATAGAGAACCAACCGTTCATCTTCTGAAAGAAGAAACAGAATGTCCAAAAAAGATGCAAAGTTAAACTGTACTACAACCCAAAGTAACTCTAACATACAAACTAAGCTTCAAGGAGCTCTTATATTCTTATTGCCACTAAAAAAAATCAATGATACTCGAAATAACATTTGTGCTAGTAGCCAAAATATCGTTTGCCATAAAATATAACCGAGTTATTCAACTCCCAAAATTTTGATTTATTTACTCCTCAGCAATGAAAGACCATTACTGCCAGCAGCTAAATTATCATTTGCCATCAACTATAACCGGCTGAGTTATTCAACTCCCCAATGTTGATTTATCTCTTTGCATCAAGGTACAAGAAATTCTTAATAAAAACATGACTTCATGTTATCTCTTTATTCTGTTTAACAAAATAGAATTAAACTTGTTAAAAACATAGTATATAGAGCATGGAGAACAAGACATCATCAAATGCAGTGGCGAAAAGAATATAAAACACATCACAAACAAAATAGGGCCACTAACTACAATGCTGATCAATAAGCACTTCCCTATAGGAAAGCCTTAGATCAATATTATGGCCCGAAAACATTTTGAAACCAAAATATAACTACAATGCTGTTGTTATTAAGATCAAAATATAACAAACATTAACATTTAATTATTTAGCAGTAATTATCTAAGCATTATAACGTACCCGATAAGTTCATCTGGTGAAGACAGGTTGAGTTTATGCAAGATACCAAGTGTAAGTGAAGTCTGTGGACCACGACCATCGTGAGCCCGTATTACTGCAGTCAGTGCCTGTGCAGCTATACCATATCCACTGGAAGGAGAAGAAGATTATCAAAATTCAATCGAAGTATGCAGCACAAACATAATTCTTGGAAAAATTAAGGAAACCTAAAGTAAAGAAAATAAAGCTCATGCGAGCGAGTGAAACCCCAATTAATCAAGAATCTATATCCAGATTTGTTGGAGAGATGTACTTGGAAATATATCAAGATTGCACACATAAAAATCTAGATCTGTCTTCACTGGATTCCAGCTCCTAACTACTAGGATGTAGCTGCAGCTCTAGGTCATAACAGCTCATTTATCCTTAGATAATGTTGGACTTTACAACTTCTGTCATCAACCAAACTTTAATGCCTTTTGAATTCCTGTTCAATCTAGCAGGGGACAATACAAGTATAATGGTACCTTGTGTATTTTCACTAGGCACTGCAGTCCAATATGACAGATCCTAGGGATTCTGGTATTATAAAAATTGAAAACAACATGAATCGGGACTAGAGCTTAAACCAAGACCCTGAGGCGTATCCTATCCTATCCATAAACATGTGCAAACGGGAAATGTGGATCACTCCTCAGAATGCAGTTTTTCATATGCTTGGTCAGAAAAGTCATTGCTACAAACTATTATTGGAACTTGAAACCATTAGTCGGACTAAGTCAGCCCTAATTTTACTGTTCCACCTTCCAAGAATGAATAAAATGCCATTTTTTCAGTTCCCGTAAAATCACTAACTATTGTGTGAAGGAGAAGAGGATTGCAGTAAGGAGAGGGGTGGTAAGTCAATTCAGGAAGATGGAATATACAATCATTATGTAGCATTTACCTTCCCCAGTCACCTAAAATGGGTCCTGCACCAGCAGCCCGAGCTTCTCTTCCATCTTCTGTAAATCCATAAGCAATGGTACCTGTACCAGCTATGAGAACACATCCATGAAGCTTTCCCATTGTCCCACTTGCCAAAGCTGCCACAGCATCATTCTGAACAAATAATCTAACATGGCTGGGGAATATTTCTCTAAAATGGAAAGAAAGAATGAACTTAGGGACAACAAAATATTGATTAACAGTGATACCAGACTTAACAGGAAAACCTTGTTCAGTCATCAGTAACCAAAACTTGATATAATAGCAGCAGACTCAAAATAATATAGAAATTATCCAATTAAATAAATAGGCAGAGAATGGAGATATAAACACTTCACACTGCAAAGTGTCTGAATTAGTACACAGTAGGAAAAATCTGATGTATCATTTATCGTTAATCAAGGGTCCATGTTAAGCAACATGTCCCAAATTGGGAAAGTAGTCAATCGTCAAAACAGGATTCAGGAGGATAGCTTTTTTCTCCTACTGATGACCTCATAAGAGATCAATGAATACAGATCATGACAAGGAAATGGAAATCAAAATTTAAACTCAAGTCACTGGCACCCCTGTTCTTCAGAAGCCAGTAACTATTGGGTTTTTCTATGTAGTCCATCTGCCTGCAACCATAAAATAATCTGTACATGTCACTTTAAAACACTCTTAGATGAAACAAAATAGAAGCAAGAAGCCTCACATATGCAGTTAGGAACACCAAGTTATGAGGATATATTTTTTTATTACCAGCTTGAAACAGTAGTGTGTTGCATGTAAATAAAACATCAGTTATATCAATTAGACAATTGTACCACAAAATGGATTACTACATGTTTTACGGAGGTTTATTAGCATTTGCACTGAATGTGATGCAACATGGATATAGAGCAACTTACTGTCTTCTTATTTTCTCCCAAGCCCAAAAGAGTTTTAACCTAAATTAAAAGGTATCAAATTGTTATTCACTTTTTAAAAAACTCCAGGTTACAAGTATTTAAATCCAATTGCATCCTCTGTCTTCTTCACAGATCTTTCTGCATCTTCATGTCTTCTTCTTCCATAATTGATTGAGCTTTCCAATCCTTTTTAAGTTCCGGTTCCACATGAAGACATGAGATTTTCTTTTTTCGCAACCATTTTTCTTTTTACTTTCTCCTTCCACTCTTAATACAATTTTCATAAGATATCCCCAACAATTCCATATAGTTAGTAATCCTCTGAATCCATCCCAGACCTCCACCCAGTCCATCTTTTCTGAGTCCATTCAGTATCATCCTCTCAATTCATATAATGCAAGGGAAAGGATCTCTCCTCGAGGGGTTCCAAATGCTGACTCATTTACACTATCATCAAAACCTCCGCATCCATCCCAGACATCCACCCAGTCCATCTTATCTGATTCCATTCAGTATCATCCTCTCAATTCATATCATTGCAAGGGAAAGGATCTCTCCCTGAGTGGTTCAAAATGCCAACTCCTCTACACTATCGTCAAAACTTCTGATAGACATTGTGATGGATATAACAAGACTCCATAAGTTGTGTGCAGGTATCAAATAAATTGTATAACTAAATGTCTAATTACTACTGCACAAATACATATAATCTTCTTTATTACCAGCATCAAATTAAAAAGTATCACGCGTCTTCTGTTTTGTAAGTTTTGGTGGATCAGTCGCTAAAGTTATTTCCGTTTATCTCAGCATAAATCAAAAATTTATGTGCAAGTGTTCCGTTTTTTGTTTTAAAAAGGGGGAGGGGAGGAGCATTAAAAATTTCAGAATAACAATTGATGGGCCAGAGCAATACAAGTAAACTATATAGTTGAGTGTTTACGGCAGGAACTTTCGGAGAAGCAAACCTAAGCCAATTAAGTATACGATCCTGATCTATGGGATGGTTAACACCAGATACAGAAAGACAGACAGCTTGAACAGCAGAACGGGTCGAAGCTGACTTTAAAAGAGCATCCGCCATAACTTGCTCTAATGTATCCCTAGCGGCAGATTCTGTAAAACATAGAGAAGCGTCGGGAAACAAAACTTACAAAATGACTTGTAATTTATTACAAAAAGATTGATGAGAAACATATGTCTGCCACGCATTTTTCTTCATAATAGAGAATTGACCAAAATATCATGCAATTTAATCAGGTGGGGCTGGGGTGCAGGCAGGGGTATTGCTCCACCATGATGGAGTATTCTAGCAATTAAAAGCAAGTAGTATAATTACACCTTGAAATAGTCATGTTGAGATCCAAATATTTAAGTATAACTCAGGGAAGCCAAAACCAAAATTCTTCCTCTTAGATTTTCAACATGTGCATACAAAAGTGAATGACTATAAAACTTTTGTTATATTAATTAACCACTAATATTAGTTGCACAAGCTTTAGGCAAAAGAGATGTAATATAAAACGGCCAACTACCAAATTGCAATAATTTCTTAGAAAACTCAAATTTCAATTCATTATTAGTCAGATTGCTTTTTTAAAACAGGAATGCTGAAACTTATAATGGACATTCTGTACAAGTAGTTGCCATCAAATCAAATTTAGAAACCTATATTGTGAAAGTAACAGTTTTACCATCAGATGAAAGGCTACAAATTTGATCTCTCGTGCAATGTTATCTAAATGAGCATCTGCTTGGTTGCCAGTATGGAAACAGGCAATTCATGTTGACAACCTTGGTTGTCAAACTGCTTAGAGCTCCACCCCTTTCTCTAGCTTAGGATTAACTTGTGACTGATCTTTGCCATCCTTTCCCTAAAAACCTTGCAACATTGCCAACTCAATATCTTTACTGACCCCTACATCATTTCTAGCATGAAAATGCTCCTAAAGAGCATGTGTTCGAGAATATAGAGATGTCGTAGCTAAAAACTAAGTCTTAGGAATTTGTTAGGCATGTAACTTAATGTATTACATTTGATCTAGATATGCGGATAACCCAAATGTCATAACAGTTAATTAAAAATTCTCAAAGAGATTTCTAAGTGCTTTTCAACATTTTTTGACTGGCTTAGAATATAGTTAGCTTTAGGAAAAAGAAAATGTGATGAAGTAAAATTATGGGAAATGCACCTCGGAGGAAATTTCATATTACAAAGAGATAGTAAAACCCAAATAATCAGGATGAACTAGACGGTAATGGAAAAAAAAATCATAATATGTTTATATAGACACAAATTTTATTTCCTATCTTAGATAGGTAATAGTTAAGCAAACTTTGTTCTGACAGTAAATCCTAAATGTCACAATCCAAAGTTTATCATTGCTTGCATTTATCTGAACAGTGAAAGTAATCAGAATATAATCTCAATACATATCCTAAACCAGAATGGTAAACACCGAATATAATGATGTTTGGGGGCTTCATTTTCTTTTAACAGTCCTCCATGCTAAGTACACATTTTTTTACACAACGAGCAAGAAATTGTTAGGTCCCACTTAGATGGTGAATTTACTCTTGAATGATTATTCCCTTATCATTTACTCAATAAAATTCACTGTGAAACTATAACCCCACAGAATCAAAAGAAAACCAAAGCACGCCACAAAATTCAGATACACAGGGAAGATTTATCCAAGCATGGCATACTGCACACAGTGTTCACATAGATCAAATACAAAACGTAAGAAAACATGTACATAAATATATACCTCCAACGCTGTTGTGATTGGAGCAGCCGGCCACGGCCCGGGCGAGTACCGGCAGTGGGTCGGGAAGGGGCTGAGTGAAGGGTATCAAAGGCATGCATACGCAAACAGTAGAGGTAGTCCCGCCGTCTATACCCAATATCACTTTACGGCCACTGTGACTCATCTTATTAACGTTATATATACTATTTTCACGAATAAAAGCACCACCGACTGCAATCCTTTCATGCTCAAAATCCCAGATTTCTCCATTTCTGTACCGCTTCATTTTTCCAATTATGTAGTAGTTTTACAAAATTTGAACGAGAGAAACCAAAAACCAATCAGATTGAGCTCTCAGACTCGATACAGAAAGAGAAATGGGTTTGGAGCGAGAAATTGGTGGGATTAAATTAGTGGAATTTGTGAATAAAATATTGGGACGGCAACAAAAGGCCAAACGCTTGAAGGTAGCTGTTTATGCGGGTAAGAATTGACGAGTGTGCTTTGAATATTCACATTCGAAGACTGCAGATTAATTTAATGATGAAAATACCTGCCGTTTTGCCATGAATAGTATCATAATTCATAAGGCCTTCCGCGAGCGAAAGGTTTCGAATCAATGAGAAACATGCGAGGGAGATAACCCCACCTTTGAATTTGTATAATCGGGGTTTTGAATTTTCTTTCTTGTCGTTTAGGTCTTCAAACTTTCAAAATTGTAAGAAAGTTGGAGTGGGGTAGTATTCAAATGATGTTATTTATGTCTTGTTTTAATTTACATTTTATTTTTTTAGAATTTAATTTTGTAAATTTTTATTTTCAACCACATATTTTATTTAATTCATTTTTTAATCAAATATTCCACGGGATTCAGCAACTTATAATCTCAAAAAGCTTTTCAAATAATGGTTAGTATCAGGGATGGCAACTCACGATGATAACTAATTACCTATATTTTTATTTTTCAATTTAACTAAAAACAAAAGTAAGATAAAACGATTAACAGTGGGAACCTTGTTTTCCACCTCCACTTCGATTAACCAAAGGGGCGAGTTAGTATCAAGACTTGAAGTTTCGTGGTGTCAACCTTGTTAAGAACAGTACATCAAAACCTTACGCTTGTCTGGCAGCGCTTTTTGCCAAAATTAAAATCAATTTTCAGACCGTTGCTACAGTGAAGTGTGAGAGAGAAGTCAAAAACAGTGACTATAACGGGCAGAAAATTGCTCAAAATCGGGGGAAAAAGTGCTGCCTGACAAAGAACTTATATATTGATTATAATTTCAATATTAATTTTAATAAATGTTAGATTTATCTCCTAACGCTCAGCATCGTTTGAGTCTGTTAAAACCACGAGGCTCGACTAAGAAATCCATGCCAGATGCTCAAATTCACGTGGTAATATTAATTATGATGATGAAATTGTAATGTTTAGGTCTAAAGGAAATACTGAAACAATTGTTAATGTCCAGTTTAAATTATTCTAATTTTTGAGGAACTCTTTGAATTCACTCTTAACGTTCAAAAACATAAATCGATTTAACTTTTGGATTATTTAACACTATGTTTGACTAAATATTCACACATGTTTATTCGCTTGCAGAGAATATGACAGTACAAGTGATGAAGATTGAGTCTTCATCATTAATTTTAGTCATTATTCTTTATTTTAGTCTTTATCTAATCTTTAGACTTTTAGTTATTGACGATGATTGAGCACTCATCAATAATTTAGTCTTTATTTAGAATCTTTATTATTGCTTTAAATAATGACTTAAAATAAAATAGATTTTGGAGTTTCCAATCTCTTAAATTCTCGGTATTGATGTATAAAATTAATGAGTCCAATTCTCCGTATTCGTGTGTGAATCGAGGAGTTTTTGATGCCTGAATTTTTAGTATTCATAGGAGTCAACAGAAATTAAAAGGTCTTGTTGCGATATTTATATGGAATCAACATAACTTTGATAACATGTTCGTTTTTTATTTTTTATACGCTTCCATCCCTACATCAATTGGTAACAGAGCTATGTTCTCTATGATATATACGAGTTGGTATTTGTGAAATCAAATGTCAAAAGTTCTATTTTGAGACAAAACCCTTTCTGCTCATTTCAGTAATATAGAGTCGGAAGAATCTTTGGATTTCAATTGCAACGGTTTTACAATATGCAACCAAGAAACTAAAGAAAGGAATAATGCATAAATTTTACATATTAAAATCACATTTCAAAATTAACAAACTTGTTTAATTATTTCAAAATTCATGTGTTAATTCCAATTAAGTAGATATGATATATAATTAGCCCACCCCTACCTTGCAAAAAAATTTCAAAAATTAAAAATATCAAGTGAGCGACGTGTCATCCGTGACAAATTGTGATCAAATTTGTATCCAGTGTGATTGTTTGTGACCAAGCCAATCTTAATTATGACGGTATGTGATCAAGTCATAACTAGTCACAATTAATACATAATTGGTCATAACGAGTCCTAATCGGTTACAATTAACACAAAATTGATCATAACCAGTCACAATCTGTCACAATTACATAGAATTGGTCACAACAAATCACAATAAACACATATTTGGTCACAAAATGGTCACGATAAACAAAATCCGCTCACACCATGAACAAACACCACAATTCACCACCAGTCATTTCCACCATCAACTACAATGCACCACTACTACCACCTTCAACTCAAATTTACGACCAACACCATCAAGAAATCAGGAAGACCAAATTCGATCAAACATAAACAAAATGTGGAGGCATACAATTACGAATTATGCTATGAAGTACTGCAATAACTTCTCCACCACCACCACCGCCACCGCCATGACACCTTACACTCCACCTCTGCCACAACACAACCAGAGATCTAAGTTCCTACCACCGCACCGCACACCTCCATCGCCGTCGCCACGACACCGCACACAACACCGCTGTAAAAAAAACCACGAACCTCCACCGCCGCCGCCGCTACAACACCGCACACCCACCTCCAACGCATACAACACCACACGATTCGGTCAACTATTGCACCTACAGCACCATAGAGCACATCACCGCTGCACAACACACCTCCATCGCCAAACCGTCATCACCACACCACTAAAAAATAAAAATAAAATGGGGAAGATGAATGGATCTACACTCCCGAACTGTAGCAACGGAAAGGCGAATAACTTCGCGACGTTCAAATCGCCACATCTCGATAGTGGCATCTTGAGCTCGGTGGTGGTGGCGTCTTCACAGTAGTCCGGCGGCAGGGGCTGATGATTTAGCGACGGCGACAATCGTTGAGGAGAGAGAAGGAAAATAGACGGAGTCGACGCCTCTTCACTCTGTGACGTTCAAATTGTCGCTGCTCGGTAGTGGCTGCAGTGGTGGTGGCGGCGTCATCGCAGCAGTCTAGTGGCAGGGGCTGATAATTTAGCAGCGAATGGAGAATGGGGGTGGGTAGTGGTGTCAATGGGCCGAGCCGAGCCGAGCCGACTCGGCCCATTGTCTCACAAGCACGAGCCGAGCTTGAGCTCGGCTCGTTACTACTTGGGCGAACTCGGCTCGTGCCCAAGCTCGCCCAAAGCGAGCGGCTCGGTGAGCCGAGCTTAAGCCGGCTCGCATAATTTTTTT